AGAAAAAAAATGATGTGTTTCTAGAAAGAAATCATTATTTAAAAGGCAGTGATGACATAAGTAAGATATCTGTATCACCTGCACAAAAGAAAACTGGAAGATCTGATATCAGACAGCTGGAGCCAAATAGTGAACTACCCCTTTTATCCTTGACTTCTACTTCCCAGTCTGCCACTAGAGCTACTACATTCCTTATACAGATTTCTGGGGTTGGGTGTCTGGCTTAATGGTGAAGAGCTTGCTTAGCATGCATGAGGCCCTGGGTTTGATCCCAGCTCTTCTAAAATAAGAGACTAACAAATTTCCATTTCCGGGGGCAGGGGCTTCTAATACTAATAAGAATGTGTATGCATGTATATAAAGTACAGTTTATAGCATACTTTTTATCAAATGTGTCTTGAATACATTTAGTAAATGTGATTGTTTTAATAGATAATTTAGATGGAGTCTTAGAACTTATTTGATTTATAGCTTATTTGCTTCACATTTTACTGCTGTAAACAGTACTGCAGTGAATATTCTTGTATGTGTATCTTTATTATAAATCAGTTTTTTAGAAATTGATTTGTCCCAGAGAGCCTTGGTTTTAAATCTGTTATGCATAACTGCAAAATAACTTTCCCAGTGCACTATTGTTTTAAACAGTGATCAGCAGTGCAGGAATTGACTTACATCCCTAAACTTTACCATTTTGCCATTTTGGCTGTAGAAAACAATATTCTATTAGTTTCCGTTACTTAAAATATCAGTTTTTTAACAGTTACATGTCATACTTTTATCACTGTTTGCCTTTCAGATTTATGGTTTGTATGTTTTCCCCTGCTAGACTTTTTAAAACAAGTCTTTGGATCTTTGGTATAAAAGCATGGAAAATTCCAACTGTATTTTGCTAATGTTGTGTACTTTTTTTTCCTCACTGCTATACCCCTCCCTCCCAGACATGGTCTCAGACTTGCAATCTTCCAGTCTCAGCTTTCCAAGTACCTGAAATTACAGGTGTAGATCATTGCGCTTGGGGGTGGGGAGCAGGGGTAAATACCCCTTTTTTAACTTTTTGGAAATTTATTAATGGATATGTAGACAATTTTACATCTCACCGCCACCACCAAAAAAAAGTGTTAACCTAGCAAAATTAAGAAAAATCTAATTCTCTGACATGGATCACAAGGTAGGGTCATGTAACTGTCCTGTAATAAGGTGTTTATAAATGGAACTCAGCCTAGTTTTACCATAACCATTAGCACTCAAAAATTTTTAAAAGCTTCTGAATGCATAATATAAGCAGAAATGCTTATATGTAAGCCACATCTATTTTAATGATATTATTTCTGTTACACTACCTTGGGTTTTGCATTAGTGAGCATGACCTAAGATCCCATTTTTGGTGGTGGTGGTGTGTGGGGGGGGGGACTTGAACATTTTGTAACTTAATCAGTCACCGAGGTTTCACTAAAAGTTACCATAGTGGAGTGAAGTCAGGGAAGGTTTATGTCACATTGATTTCACCAGGATTATTTTAATATATCAAAGGGGGGGTTTACTATGCTAGACAAATTTTTAGGGAAAAATGCTACTAGAAATGTATGCATCATCATTGAGTCCAGTGTGCCATAAGACATCTTAGCATATTCATAGCATTCTTTAATACCAAAAAAGGCACATCAACTAAAAAGTTCGTTCCACTTAAAGGTTTGAAAATGTTTTTTCTAGATTTATAATTTAAATGTCTTAGGATGGATACTAGGTATATCAGTTTATAGTGGCATTTGAAATTAAATGGATTTACTGATAAGGATTAGTCTTTAGTCTTCCAATGAATGATTTTATAGGATATGATTGTTCAGATTTTCTTCTTACTAATAATAGTAAGGGTGAGGGTGATAAGGCAGGTTTTGAGTTTTTTAGTACTATTGAAAATTGCAAGTCTTGGTGTACTAATGAATTGGTAGAAGGCTGCTCATGTTTGCTTTGTTAATTGCCTCAGGATCTCTCTTTTAAAATAAACTGTTTTAAGAGGAACAGAAGGGAAATCTGCTACCTCTTTTATACACAGTGCGAATCTCAGGGGATTTCCAACATACCCTCATGTAAGGAGGGAGAGTAAACAGGAGGAGTGGTTAAGGGCTTCTAGGAACTTAACTGCTCCCATAGGAAAGGAATTGGTCAGCGTTGGGCCAGCAGGTTTTTGGCTGAACTGTTAACTGCCTTTCTCACCCAGTAAATCAATCCCTGTACTTGTTTTCCTCTTTGAAACAAGTCTTGGTTACCTAATTCTATTTTTATTATTATAACTTTAAACATGAAAGTTATTCCTCTCAATTCATAGCAGGTGCCTTACTCTTTGCTTGAATCAAATCATTCCTTCACTTTTGTTTTTTAATGTACAATGTTTTTAATTTGCTATACAATGTTTCAATTGTTACAGCTGGCAATCATTTCATACGTAAAATTACATTCCCTTTGTATTTCATGTGTAATTTGCCAATTGAGTGGGTTTTATATTCAGGTTGGATTATGCATGTTTATGTAAGTAACAGCTGTGTCTATGTGATTTATTATTTAAATATAAGTTCCCTGAATATTTGGAAAAAGAAAAATCTAATTCAACATGGATTCTTCCACCTTGTAAATAATAATTTATTTATCTTTATAAACAGTGAGATAGCAGTGAAGAGGAACTCATGATCCAATCTATTACTGTTTTTACAATGTGAAAAAAAAAAAGGAATGATGTTACATGTCTCTTTTTTTTCTCTAGAGTATCGAGATCGCTATGATTCCGACCGATATCGGGATGGGTATCGAGATGGATATCGTGATGGCCCACGCCGGGATATGGATCGCTATGGGGGCCGGGATCGCTATGATGACCGAGGCAGCAGAGATTATGATAGAGGTAATTATAATATAATTCAGTTAAAGTTCTTTGTTTTAAGAACTCATTCTCATGTATTGTTTTTGTTTTTTTTTAATTTGGGGTTTGGGTGGGGGTTGTTGTTCATTGTGTTTTGGTTTTCTTGTTATATTTGTTTGCCCTAACCCCCCCCCCCCTTGGTGACAATTTGTGATGTTATTTACAGGCTATGATTCCAGGATAGGCAGTGGCAGAAGAGCATTTGGTAGTGGGTACCGAAGGGATGATGACTACAGAGGAGGTGGGGACCGTTATGAAGACCGATATGACAGACGAGACGATCGGTCGTGGAGCTCCAGAGATGATTACTCTCGGGATGATTATAGGCGTGATGATAGAGGTAAACATTTTCTTTTTGCTTTTAGACACTGGAAAATTTGCAGTTGTAAATTACATTTGTGCCTACTTCCAGTGTTTGGAACACAATTTATGCATTGCCACAGAACGTAGAAAAACATTGGAAAAGATGACGTGATAGAAATAAAGTCGAATTTTTTTCATCTCATATGTAAAGCATATAAATTGTTTTAATTAAAAAACTACCATTTTCTTCTGTCAGATGAGTAATGTGCCAAAGTTAAAGAGAGGTACACCTCAACAATGGCATAAACACCCAATTATCACACTTGTGAACCACAAAGGATCACATTCTTAAAATCAAGTAATTTTGTCTAGTAGTTGATAGTGGCTGAAAATTTCATCCTGGGTAAAAGTAAACAAGATTAAAATTTATTGAAAAATAAAAAACGTTAGGCTTTTTTTTTTCTTTTCTTTTTGGTGGTGGTGTTACTGGGGATTGAACTCAGGAACACTCAACTGCTGTACATCCCTAGCTGTTTTTATTTTTAAATTGCCCAGGCTAGCCTCAAACTTGTCCTTCACCTCAGCCTGAATTGCTGGGATTATAAGTGTGTGCCACTGTGCCCAGTTTTGTCATGTTATAATATCATTTCATAAATTATATTTAAAATAGGTGGTGTTACAGGCACTGTGGCATATGCCTGTAATCTCAGTGGCTCAGGGAGATCAAGAGTTCAAAGCCAGCCTCAGGAATTGAGCAAGGTCCTAAGTAACTCAGTGGGACCCTGTCTCTAAATAATATATAAAAAAGGGCTGAGGATATGGCTCAGTGGTTAAGGGCCCCTGGGTTCAATCCTAGTACCAGAAAAGATAATAGGTGGTGTTAAACTCTTTTCTCAAAGGAAAGGGAAAGAAATAAAAATATTAGGGGCTGGGGGTGTGGCTCAAGTGGTAGCGCGCTCACCTGGCATGTGTGCGGTCCAGGTTTGATCCTCAGTACCACATACAAAGATGTTGTGTCCACCGAAAACTAAAAAAAAAATATTTAAAAAAATAAAATATATATATATATATTAAGCGTGGTCTCATTGTTGATAACTGGCAATATGAGGTTAAAACTAAGCTGGGTATAGTGATCCCTACCTGTAATCCTTGCTGAGCAAGAGGATCACAGGTTCAAAGTCAGTCTCAGCAACTTAGCAAGACCCTGTCTCAAAATAAGAAATAGGCTGGGGATGTTGCTCAGTGGGTAGCACCCCTGGGTTTGATCCTTGAGACAAAACGAGAAAAGGTTTTGTTGATTATAGTGCTTTGTGCCACAATGGATGTTTCTTAACTAATTAGGATTAAGATTTTTTAAATGCCCCTAGTATATTGTATTATAAATCCTGATTTTTTACTTTTTATATTGGAATTGAACTTTGCCCAAAGCTTTATTTATATCCACTATTTTCTCTTAATTCCATTCAGTGTTTCTGGGGTCACTCTACCACTGAGCTACTTCTGAAGCCCTTTTTATTTTGAGATGGGGTCATGCTAAGTTGCCCAAGTTGGCCTCAAACTTAGAATCCTCCTGCCTCATCCTCCCAAGTAACTGGGATTATTGGCTTGCACCATCATACCTGGCTTTATCTTCAGAGTATTCTGGCAGCAAGGATGAAATCTACTTCCCTCTGGTTCAGGTTATATTCAAGAGTCTTCCTTATTATTACAAGCTTGTTCTATACCTGTTGAAAGACATTCATCTTCCACAGCCCATTCTATCCCACCCCGCTTTTTCTTCTCCTGTCAGATGAGTAATGTGCCAGTGTTATAGCAAGGCTTAAAGAGGTACATCTCAACAACAGCATGAAAGCTCAATCGTCACGCTTATGAACCACAAAGGATCACATTCTTAAAATCAAGATAATTTTGTCTAGTAGTTGATTATGGCTGAAAGTTTCTTCCTGGGTAAAAGTAAATAAGATGATTCATTTACTACTTAAATTTGTATCTTTTGGAGGGCCTTTCCTGCAGTCTCTGTCTTAGACATGGTAGAGGAAAGAGTAACGGGACTTTATGTTTAAGCTCCCCATTTTCCGATCTCCCATTCTCTTCTGGGTTGACTGGGCCACTAACCTGAATCCCATGTAGCATTTCATGAGAGCTGTGTTTTTGGAATCTGGCTTCCAGCCATTAGCTTATGATGATTTGGAACTAAGAGTTTCGTTTAACTTAGGTCCCCCCCAAAGACCCAAACTGAATCTAAAGCCTCGGAGTACTCCTAAGGAAGATGACTCCTCTGCTAGCACCTCCCAGTCCAGTCGAGCAGCTTCCATCTTTGGAGGGGCAAAACCTGTTGACACAGCTGCTAGAGAAAGAGAAGTAGAAGAACGGCTACAGAAGGAGCAGGAGAAATTGCAGCGCCAGTTGGATGAGCCAAAACTAGAACGGCGGCCTAGGGAGAGGTGAGGTGTTTTTGTTTCTTTGTTTGTTCTGTTTTGGTATTAGGGTTTGAACTCAGGGCCTCATGCATGGTAGGCAAGTACTCTATACCACTGAGCTGCATCCCTAGTCTAATGAAGTTATATTCAATTACAGATTTTTCATTGGTATTTTTAGTGCTGCTTAATGGGGGCATTTGGGAAATTTGTGGTTCTTGTTGTCACTTGATAAGCATTTAGTGGGCTGTGGGGTATTAGGCTTGTTTGTTTGTTTTTTAAATACTTGTTTATTTTAGTTGTAGTTGAACACAATACTTTTTATTTTGTTTATTTATTTTTATGTGGTGCTGAGGATTGAATCCAGGGCCTGACGCGTGCTAGGCGAGCACTCTACCACTGAGCCACAACCCCAGCCCCCTCCCCCCTGTCTGTTTTTGTAGATGAGCTTTAGACCTTCAAGAAAAAAAAAAAAATTGCCACCCAGTTCTTTTCTATATAGAATAAAACTCCACAATGGTACAATAAGTGTAGAATTCAGAAAATTTTTACATCATCTATAGAAATTATGTTGAGATTAATAAAAATTACATTTACTTCTTTTCAAAAGTTATTGATTGGCATAGAAAATGTTTTTTCTCTTGTTGAGTGTAGGCTAGGAATTCACTTGCATTGATTTTTGTGTGTATATACTTAGAGCTATATTATCTTCTAAGTGTTATTTCAGGGTAGTAATCATTACACAAGTATTTAAAAAGTGTATGTAGTAGGGCAGAAACCTGTAATATAGGCCCTGTTATGAATGGCTTATATGATTGGGTTAATAAAAGATGGTGTTGGAGATGATCGAAGAGGATTTTTTTTTTTTTTAATTTTTATTTTATTTTTTATTTTTTTATATTTTTTTGGTTGTTGATGGACCTTTATTTTATTTATTTGTATGTGGTGCTGAGAAATGAACCCAGGGCCTCATGCATGGCAAGCACACTACACTGAGCCACAACCCCAGCCCCAAGGATTTTCTTAACCTTTTAGTTTGAAGAAAAGCATTCTCATGCACCCATAGAGGCAGCAAGTCTGATAAAATAATTGCTGGTTCTTAGGGGTCAGCATGGGTCCAAAGGAGCCTTCTTTGAGCTGCACACAATGTATTTTTTTGTTAAATCTCTTTTGTACAGACACCCAAGCTGGCGAAGTGAAGAAACTCAGGAACGGGAACGGTCAAGGACAGGAAGTGAGTCATCACAGACTGGAACCTCAGCCACATCTGGCAGAAGTAAGTCAGACCCTGGTGGGTATCACATTATCGCTATTTTCAATAAACTGCCCATAACGAAAGTATGCAGAGATTGTGCATTATTAAATTCAGCTAAATTCTGAGTTGCATGTCCTGATCTGGGTATTGGGAATTGAACCCAGGGGCACTTTACCATTGATCTATATCCCTAGATGGTTTTTTGCTTTGTTTTTAATTTTTAATTTTGAGGTAGGGTCTTGCTAAGTTCCTGTGGCTGGCCTTGTATTTGGGATCATCCTGCCTCCCCAGTTGCTGGTATTACAGTCATCCTCAATCAAGCCCAGCACATAACTATTTGTTAACATACATGCAGTCGTTATTTTTCCTATTTTCTGTGCATCAGTAAAGCATTTTCTTAAAATTACATATGAGAATCATAGTTTAGGGATCCCTCCATTGATTAGCAGCCAAAATAGGTTCTTCATTTAAGAATGATTATGGAAAGCATTAAATGTGGATGTGGACCATTTTCTACCCTCTTGTGATCCTGGTAGGTGTTAAGAATAAGTCTGTCTTGTCTCTTGCTCTTTCATGTCTTGTCTTGATCTTTCTTGTCTCTTGATCTTCCCACTGTTTTGGGGTGAGACTTTTACTGGGGATTGCACTCAGGGGTACTTGACCACTGAGCCATGTCTCCAGCCCCCCCCCCCCCCCTTTTTTTTTTTTTTTTTTTTTTTTTTTTTTTTTTAAAGAGAGAGTATCTCACTGAGTTGCTTAGTGCCTCACTTTTGCTGAGTCTGTCTGGCTTTGAACTCTATCCTCCTGACTCAGCCTCCTGAGCTGCTGGGATTATAGGCGTGCACCACTACACCCAGCTGACCTTCTTCCCACTTTTGACTTCACAGATGCACGAAGGAGAGAGAGTGAGAAGTCTCTAGAAAATGAAACACTCAATAAGGAGGAAGACTGTCACTCTCCAACTTCTAAGCCTCCCAAACCTGATCAGCCTCTAAAGGTAATGCCAGCCCCTCCACCAAAGGAGAATGCGTGGGTGAAGCGAAGTTCTAACCCTCCTGCTCGATCACAGAGCTCAGACACAGAGCAGCAATCCCCCACAAGGTGAGTCAGCTTGAAAGAGCAGCTGGTTAGCCTGGGATAATAAATGTAATACAACTATGGAAAATGTCCTTTGGATGATGGAGTGTGTATAAATGTTGTCTTGGTTCTCAGTTCAGATTCATAGGTATACTGCTGTTGGCTCATAAGAGCCAGTTCCATTTTCTGGTCTTTTGATAGCCAGTCATCACTCTAGTGTCTTGAAGTCAGTCATGGTGGGAGTATTTTGCCACATGAATCTGCAAACGCTTACATGAATTACTCCTTTCCCTGCCACATATTGGCAGTATAGCTGTGGGAGTTCACTTCACTGAAGCATTAGATCTTTAAGTCTTTCCTCTTTTGTATATAAGGGATACTACCACTAACCTTGTACAATTGTGATAGAAGAGATTCTAAGATAAGTAGCAGTTAATGAGCAGATTATTGCTGTTTTTTTTTTTTTTAAATTTTTATTTTAGTAGTCTATAACATTAAGGATGGGACTTCTTGTTTTCTGTAAAGCTTACTGCATGTGCAGAATAATCGTAGGTTTCTTACATGTTCTTTTCCCTAAAACAAGTGATGATTGTGATCATGTTTCCCTTCTAGTGGTGGGGGGAAAGTAGCTCCAGCTCAGCCATCTGAGGAAGGACCCACAAGGAAAGGTAAGACCATACCTAGGGTAAAATGTTTTCATCTATAGGGCTAAATGAAAAGACATCCATAATAAACCCCCAGACCAAGAATCAAGAAACTTGGATCCGTGTCTTTATTTATTTATATTTATGTGGTGCTGAGGATCAAACCCAGCACCTCACACATGGTAGGTAGGCAAGCGCTTTACCACTGATCCACTGCCCCAGCCCCAACCTGGGATCAGTGTCTCTTGCTTTCCCAAAAGCTTTGTGTTGAAACTGTTAGATTATCTACCTTTTCCTGCCAGGAGAGGGCAGGAGTGGCCTCTGCAGAGAAAGTGTGAAGCCTTGCCCTTTCCTGGTAAAACATTTCTTTGGAAGCAGGGAGAAATTGGATGGAAATTAACATATTTATAGCACAGTAAGTCCAGATTTGGAAATGTCGCCAAGAGCAAGGTCAAAGTTACTACAGAACATCATAGCTCTTGTTTCCAGATAGCTTTTTCAGATTAATAAAGCCTATAGGTGGGACTTTTTTCTACTTGAGGATAACCCAGGACGAGAAGAGTGGTTATTTCACTTTTCTTTGTTTTTGCATTTCTGCTCAAGCAGACGATAATAAAATAGATGGAATGAGTGTCCCAAAAGGCCAAACTGGGAACTCCAGCCGTGGTCCAGGAGATGGAGGGAACAAAGATCACTGGAAGGAGTCAGATAGGTATGCATATTTTCTTTCTCATCATTTGCGAATTTTTTATGTGGTTTTAGATGCATGGGTCTTTGTGATGGAAGTTCTTGGTTTTCCAAGCACTGCCAGATTTCTCATTTCAAACAAACTAAAGTCAACCCAAAACAAACAGTTACATTAAGAGAATGTGATGTCCAGATAGCACGAACAGTTGATAGGATGTACCTGTTGGGGGTCAAAACTACATTCTTGTCTCTCTATGTTGGGGGAGTCCCCTCCCAAAGATATGGTTTTATGCTTACATCTCTGCAGGAAAGAGGGCAAAAAGGATCAAGACTCCAGATCTGCACCTGAGCCAAAGAAACCTGAGGAAAATCCAGCCTCTGTAAGTGTTACTGGCTTAACCTCAACTTCTCAGCTTCCTTTGGCCATTGGCCTTCTTTACATTTGGGACTGAAGAGTGGTTGGAAATAAGACATTGGTCTTAGTTCAGACTAATGAAAAAAGTTGAGATGAGCTCCCCCCCCCCCCTCACATTTACTGCTCTCATGCTCTTGCAAGGTAAAGGTGAAGATAGAACACATGTGCTTCTGGCCCTCTTTCTAACAACTCTGCTAGAAAATGCTATGAGCAAGCCAATGGGTGTAGTCTTTACTGTCATCCCCATTTGCCAAAGTATTTGCATTCTGTCTTGGATTTTGATGTGGGAATCCAAGGTCTTCGTTATCTTGTCACTGTCTTCTGTTACAGAAATTCAGTTCTGCAAGCAAGTATGCCGCTCTCTCTGTGGATGGTGAAGATGAAAATGA